AAATAAAATAAAATAAAAGTTAAAAAACAGAGCGTCAGGCATTGTACTGTTTCTGTGTAAGCCCTGTGATTATAACGTCTTAGCATCAGTGCTGTCTGCAGTGCCAGCGCTAACAGTATGACATTGCTTCCTACAATTTTAGGAATACTTTCACTCAGTACTCGGTCCTGCAAACATCAAGAAAGCTATTGAAGAAGCTGAAAGACTCTCTGAAAGCCTTAAACTGAGGTATAGTTGTTGTGAAATCTTTGAGTGTAAATTTACAAATTAAAAATGATGTTTAGGGTTTGTCAATTTGTATCTCACTATGCATGTAAGATCCAGCTCCTAGAAGCAGTATGTATGTTAACTGGTACACAACAATTAAAATTGTTTACTATATCATCTGTGTTATATTCATGTATTAAAATTCTTTATCAAAAAAAAGATTCTTTTTTAAATTTTTCTATAATTAGGACAGGGTCTACGGGGCCTATAGGGTCTCACTACGTAGATCAGACTTGCAGTGATTCTCCTGTGTTCAGCCTCCCAAGTGCTGGGATTACAGGTGCGCATTAGCACGACCAGTCTCCATCTCCATCTCAGTGCACCCCGAGGGTGAGGCTGGCACAGCAGGCCAGGGATCAAACCCTGGCTGCTGTGCTCTGCCTAAGCAGGCGCTTTAGTCCCCTAAGCTATCAGGCCAGCCCTCAAAAAAAGATTCTTTATCAAAAGTTTTTAAGTATTTAAAAGATTGTTAAGGTAAGTACTGGTATATTAGATTAGAAACCAGGTCCAGGTTTTCCTAAGTTACAAATCCTTGTACATTTAATTCTATATATACCCTATATTGTACTGTACTACTCCACATGAGAATTGGGGAGTGAAGTATTCATATTTTTGATCTGCCCAAAGTTTCAAAAGTTACACGTCTATTTTTAAAAAATAAATTCTGCTATTTGCAAAAACTGGCTTATAAAATTCTTGATCTTAGCCAAAAGGCCAAGAAGTGATTTAAATTCTTGCAAATTTAAAATAGTATGTTTCAGCTTTTAGTCATTCTTTAAATTTAGAGTGTTGCCATTATGAACAGCATAATCCTTTCATGGAGTCCTAGTAGATAAATTCCTGCCCCTATCTACAGCATAAAAGTTGTTACTGGATGCATCTAAGAGCATTCCCAGACATGATACAGGAGGAGAGGACAGGAGAGTGCTTTCAAGTGATACAGGCTGGTGAGCGGGAAGGGGTGGACGGACGTTTATGATGCAAATGATAGATAAGGGTGAAACCAGGAAGTTGCAGCTGGTGGACATTTCTGTATGGTTTAAATTTTATTCACCAAGAATGAATCATATTACTTGTTTAAGGCTATTCTTTTAAAAGTTTGAAGCTTTATTGTTGTTCATTCATTTTTTTTGTGGTGCTGGGATTTGAACCCTGGGTCTCATGCCTGCCATACAAGTTCCCTGCCCTGAACCACATACCACACACTGTTAGCCCTTTAAAAGTAGAAGACAGCAATTAAACAGCTGAGGTCAGATGGTAGAGTTGCTGATTATTTAAATGTTTCTTTCCTGCTGATACCATACTTTTGTCATAAAGGGGCAAAGGAAATCTTGTGGTTGCCAAATCTGGAACTGCACATAGAAGTTATATGGGTATAGGGGCCAGGGAGATGGCTCAGTAGAATAAGTGCTTGCCTGGCAAGTGCAAGGGCCTGAGTTCAATCC